TGACTCATTTTTTTTACCTACTGATGGGCAACAACAGTCTAGAGGACAGTGTTTTGTTTTCTTCTTTTTTAAACAGAATTGACATTTGTACAGTGAAGGAGATGGAGGTAGGGGGACAAGCATGGGCATGATGAAAAAAATTAAGAGAAATAGAAATGAGTCAGGCAATCTCTATACGGTTAATGTGTGTTGAGGTAGGTATCTCTCAAATCAAAAGAAAGCACAAAATTCCCATACATATTTTGCTGGTTTTGATATTGAAGTACCCCATATCACAAATCCTAGTCAAGTCATATGTTAACTAATGCTCACCATTAAAGTAACCAGGAAGCCTACTTCAAAATTTCTTCAGTTTAAAGTAAATATCATGAAATTTCAGAAATCAGTGCTTCATTATCTCTTTTTTCGTTGTTGCTTTTTCACAAAGACCTTATCCGAACTTTTCTTTAAAAAGAAAACTCATCAGAATATACTGGTCCTTTAAAAAAAAAATGTCATTACTAGGAACTGAATTCAGGAGATACGTCACTCTAAATTGATCCTATTTCAACAGCTTAAAGCTCAACATTCAGAAAACTAAGATCATGGCATCCAGTCCCATCACTTCATGGCAAATAGATAGGGAAAGAGTGGCTGACTTTATTTTTCTGGGCTCCAAAATCACTGCAGATGGTGATTGCAGTCATGAAATTAAAAGACACTTACTCCTTGGAAGGAAAGTTATGGCCAACCTAGATAGCATATTGAAAAGCATAGACATTACTTTGCCAACAAAGGTCCATCTAGTCAAGGCTATGGTTTTTCCAGTGGTCATGTATGGATGTGAGAGTTGGGCTATAAAGAAAGCTGAGTGCCAAAGAATTGATGCTTTTGAACTGTGGTGTTGGAGAAGACTCTTCAGAGTCCCTTAGACTGCAAGGAGATCCAACCAGTCCATCCTAAAGGAGATCAGTCCTGGGTGTTCACTGGAAGGACTGATGTTAAAGCTGAAACTCCAATACTCTGGCCACCTGATGCGAAGAGCTGACTCACTTGAAAAGACCCTGATGCTGGGAAAGATTGAAGGCAGGAGAAGGGGACGACAGAGGATGAGATGGTTGGATGGCATCACTGACTCAATGGACATGGGTTTGGGTGGACTCCGGGAGTTGGTGATGGACAGGGAGGCCTGGCCTGCTGTGGTTCATGGGGTTGCAAAGAGTTAGACACGACTGAGCAACTGAACTGAGCTGAACAACAGCTTTGATGGTCCTTTGAACAACGAAGGTCAAGCATCTTATCTGTGCAAGTCTTATATAAACTCTGCTGCTGCTAAGTTGCTTCAGTCGTGTCTGACTCTGTGTGACCCCACAGACGGCAGCCCACCAGGCTCTCCTGTCCCTGGGATTCTCCAGGCAAGAATACTGGAGTGAGCTGCCATTTCCTCCTCCAATTATATAAACTCTACTCAACAATAAAACACTGAATCATTTTGATATAGTCATTTTAAGAAGGTATCAGAAGCAGTACTGTAAGAATCTATACCAATAGTGTAAACTAAAGATAATGTTTCTAGTTGTGGACATTATTAATACTGTCTGTAAGCCACATTTAACAATTATCACAGTCCAAAGTGGGACAGAAAGGATTCTTAACTCCGCTGCTGGAAAGCATTATGGTTTAAAAAAGGCATAAGGATTTAAATATGAATATGACTTCACACACTTCAAAGAGCCTTAAAAATGATTTCATTTCATTCTATAGAATTATACTTATTTTTAAACAGAAATAAAGGCATTAATTAACATTCTTCCTTCCATCTTTGCTTGGCGAGCTTGGACTCATCCTTTAAATCCTCACTTTAAAACATCTCTTTATCTAGAAAGAACTTCTTTAAATGATCTAAAATCAGGACAAACATCCTCACTGCCTGCTCCAAAAGAGAGTAGTTTACTTTTCCTATCACTCTAGGACACTGTGGAATTTTTGTTATTGTTGCTTTTGGTTCCCCACTAGACTGTAAGCTCCATAAGGGTAAGGACAACTGACCACTTCAAAGCTGTGTCAATATTTAACACCAACCTACACAAGCTATCAGCTCACTTGGTAAAGAATCCGCCTACAAAGCAGGAGATCCTGGTTTGATTTCTGTGTCAGGAAGATCCGCTGAAGGGTTAGGCTACCCACTCCAGCATTCTTGGGCTTCCCTTGTGGTTCAGCTGGTAAAGAATCTGCCTGCAATGTGGGAGACCTGGGTTCCATCCCTGGGTTGGGAAAATCCCCTGGAGAAGGGAAAGACTACCCACTCCAGTATTCTGGCCTGGAGGATTCCATGGGGTTCTGTAAAGTCCATAGGGTCCCAAAGAGCTGGACACGACTGAGTGCCTTTCACATCTTAAGTAATAAAAGATTTGTGGAACACTGGAACTACAATTTTTAAATCTTTCCATCCAAGGCATGGCACCAATTTCCTATCTTTAAAACAGCTCTTCCATGACATGCAGTGACTAGCATTCCAATCAAGTAATAGTCAACTGAGAATCACTTTTAATTACCCAGCCTACACATGAAAAAGACTAAATTAAAGAAAGCCTTAATGCTATGAACACAAACATGAAACACAGTAAATGGACTAGAGTGTTATGTTTTTATACCATGGAGAGTTTCACCGTTTTTGTTCCCTTTTCCACATGGAACTAAAAGAGATTATTTTTTTTCCCCTAAATAAGCCAGTTCAATATTAGGGTCTCATAACTACAACATAATTACAGGACTGTTTCACTGTTTGTCTTCTAGCTTAGCTGGGTGCACATAGAACTCTAAAACAGAATAAAAAGTTAACTACTGTGGCAAACAGAAGATGTGACTTGGGAGATAAGCACAATTTTATGTGTGACTAATCCTAAATATTACAAAAATTAATGTAACTATCATCTGCAAGTGATTACTTACAATGCAGTACGATGAAAAATGACAAGATTTGTGAAACAACGTGTTATAATAGTCAAATCTGGAATAAAGTCTACAAAGGCAGTCTTGCTTCATTTATTATAGATCTTTCATCCTGCCTTAAAAAAAGAAATGATTTCATCTAAAATAGGCAACACTTGTGAGCATCTGCATACTTAAATGGGAGCCTGATTTTGATTCAATTCACTACATTCCTAATAGTTGTTGTTGTTGAGTTGTTAAGCCATGTCTCACTCTTTGCGACCATACAGACTGCAGCATGCCAGGCTTCCCTGTCCTTCACTATTTCCCAGAGTCTGCTCAAACTCAAGTCTATTGTGTCGATGATGCCATCCAACCCTCTCACCCTCTGTCACCCCATTCTCTTCCTGCCCTCAATATTTCCTAATAGTAGTGTCCACATTTCCAGCGATCTAATAATGATTTCCTGTAAGTATTTCTCACATTGCTGACCTTGACTCATTAATGGGATCCAAACAGCATTTGCAAGAAAGGAAATAGATTAGGATACAAAATATCAGAGTACAACACACATAGCAAGGCAAAGAACTGTTTCCTGAAACTTTTGATTCACTTTGCATGTGACAACATAAAATTTATTGCTAAGTACGGGCTGCAAAGAAAAAAAAAAATGTGTGAACATTACTCTTGGAGTGTATATGCCCCCAATTACTACTTCTCCCCAAACACTGCCAAAGTGAAAACTCCATAAAAATTACTCACAAAAATGAAAAGTGATCTTAAACCAAGTATAATTGTTTAACCTGGACTTCACACATTCCAAAATCAAACTAAATTTAAATCCAGGTTCCACTACTTCTTATGTGAATTTAGGATTATTTAAGCTGTACATGCTTCACTTCTGTCAACTGTAAAATGAGGATAAAAATATTTTCTGAGTTCTGGTAGAAATAAACCATACATTAAGTTCTTAACATATGCTTTACATTAACAGAACAAACTCAAAGAGTGGTATATATTAAAATACAGCATGAAACTTAACAGAAGTTATCTTCAGAGTATGATCTTTGATGTTTATGTGCAATGCTTTTTCATTTCATATATTTCTGTACTATATGAATGTACATACAACATACACACTTCTAATGTAACATTTCTAAGGTATATTATCTTTACTTTTTTAATGTCAATGGGAGGTATCTAGGCAAGGAGATTATGACCCTTTTTGTTTTAAATTTCTCTGTACTTTATAAGAACATGTTAGCTGTTTTTAAAAGAAAACAATTACTTGCTTAAAAAAAAAGTGTACAGTGGTCTAGGTTTTAGGAATAAGTACTTTCGGGGGAGAACTTAGGTCCCAGATACTTCTCACTAAATCCTCACATAATCCCCACATACATTTTTGCCCATGAGGAGATGGAGGCTACTGAGATAAGGAAAATGATCTGTTACACAACCAACAGACAGCAGTTGCCAGAACTTGAAAGCCTTTTCTTCTGCCATCACATAATGCATCCAAATATTCTTCTACAGCTCTTTCACATAGGCACATTTTGATCTACCCAAGCAGACTGTACACTACCTCAAAAGGGGAGAAAGTTTCACTAACTTCATTTAAGTCTCACATTTAAGTCTCATATTAATGATAAGGTTACGATAGCTACTTAACACTTGTTGGGTTTTATTAAACTTCTCTTGGGCTAGTTTGTCCTTATGCGACATTACTCCTGTAAAAAGGAAATGAGTAAAACACACGACAGAACTATTCTAACACTGCTCAGATCTAACTTTATTCCGACACACTCGGAACTGAAAAAGTTTAAGCATATCCATGTCCTGAGACGACCACTACGGGAGGCTGGAGATGAGCACGAGGATCACAGTGCAAGCTAAAAAGAAGAGACTCACACGTTCCCCTACCACGCCCCCGTCACCACCTAAAGAAAGGAACCTCAAGGGTTCCCGAGAAGTACTGAGGCATCATCACCACGCCCCCATCGTTCCCATCATCGTAACTCGTTTTCTTTCCCTACCCGGACCGCAGTGCCAAACACCAAAACCCTTAATAAACAATTCAAAAAGTCTCTGACCTGCAGCGAAGTGCAGGGGAGAAGACTTCCGGCCGGCCATGTCCTTAGCATTCACGTTTGCCGCGTCCACCAGCCTCTTTACCCTGGACACGTCCCCATTGCGACAGGCCTCCAAGAGTTCCCGCAGGGCCCCGCTCACTGCTGGAACCCCTGGCCCCGGGCCCGCAGCCCCAGGCCCCAATGGTGCTGTGGTGCTAACTCCGGCCGCCTCGGGACTCTCCGCCAAGCTCGATCCAGGGGAGGATGGAGAGGAAGAGGAGGAAGAAGTCGGGGAAGAAGAGGACGACGGTGAATTGTTACTGCCGCCGCCGGCTGGGTTGGGAGCTACCCCGACGGCAGATGAGGCAGAAACCGCCGGGACCACGGGAGCGGTGGCGACCGTACAGATTGTGCTCGTGGGACTGCAACAGCTGGCAGTGTCAACCGGGTCCGGGGATCTGGGCCTGTCGGGCGGATCCCGACTGCCATCCCCCTCCGGCAGAGCTAGGCCGTGCCTCGGGGAGGCGAACGGGGCCAGGCTGCCCACCGTAGGGGAGGCCGGGGTGGTCCCAGGGGCCAGGCCCGGGCTGAGTGGTGGGGGAGGTGGCGGCGGCGGCGCCGAAGCCCCTGGGGCGGGCTGGAGCTGTTGTTGATGATGGTGGTGATGATGCTGAGAGCGACGCGACGCCGCCATCTTCGGACTCCCCCAGCTCTGTCACTGCGGCAACGGCCCCACCGCCCGCCCTCACTTCCGACTGCCGGACCAATTACCGCCCAGCGCACAGGAAATGATGCTAGGAGGAGAGGGCGGGGTCAAAGGGTGGGAGGGAAGTATTGGAAGCTCCCAGCCCCTCCGCGAAAGGGGGCGTGGCCTCGCCTTCGAGGGGCGGGCTTTGTGATGCCTTCGCGGGCTGGCCGGGGAGATTTGAAAACTGGAACTATCCTAGGCTTAAGTGAGAAACTTTTCCTGCATTTCTCACTTTGAACTTGCTTACCTTGCCCTGTTCCGTTCTGTTGCCAAGTCTCCTTCAGTCTTGCTTGTCTTGCTGCAGAACCTGCGTGAGATGGAACTCTGTGCAAAGTTTGTATCGTTTATCAAATGTCAAGTGCCCCTGTCTGAAAAATGAGCTAGTATCTATCTCACAGAATTGTTAGCGGAATTAAATGAGCTAACATTTACAAAATGTTCTGTCTGCTTCCCTTGTGGTTCAGATGGTAAAGATCTGCCTGCAATGCAGGAGACTCAAGTTTGATTCCTGGGTCGGAAAGATCCCCTGGAGAAGGGAATGGCAACCCACTCCAGTATTCTTGCCTGGAGAATCTCGTGGACAGAGGAGCCTGGTGGGCTACAGTCCATGGGGTCGCAAGGAGTTGGACACGACTGAGCGACTAACACACATAATTAGCCCACTGGTAAAAAAAAAAAAAATTAATGCAGCCTTCTCCCCCTCTCTGTTAATCCCTTGGTCTCTATATACCCCCTCTAGTAGAGTTCTCACTTTATGTGCTTTGTTAAGTACCTCATTCTAAAATAGAAGTTAGGAATACAAGGATTGAAATTCAGGCTCTGCCATGAAAGAGCTGTGTCGATTTGGGCAAGCTATTTAACCCCTCTGTGTCTTAGGTTCCCCTCTGCAAAATGAAATTAATAGTTCAATGTTAACTACTAAAGTTATGTTTCTTCTATTCTGTTACCTCTGTGCTTTCATTTCTCACCTTAAACTCGACTGAAATAATGACAAACATATTCGTTTCTTTTGAATTCTTTTTAGCTGACCTTCTCTTCTTTATTCCTCTCATCCCTCTTCCCTCTCCTTCCCAAACTAAGATAAAAACCAGCTTGCTACACCCATCACTCACCTTCAAAAGCCATTCTTCAGCATTTCTTTCTCTTTACTCTGCCTATACCTTCCTTTTTTTATTGTCTACCATCAAAAGAAATGTATCAATGATTTGGATCATCTCACTAAGGTCTCCATTTCCTGCTTCTTGTTTAAGAGTAAAGTAGGCATTATGGAAATTTTAAAAAATAGCATTATTCCAAGAGAGTGGACATAGATGGAGATTCTGTGTCTTAAGAAATGCCCAAGATTTAGATGGGTCAGGTAGAAATTGCATTTTGCAGAATTCTAAACCACATGATAAACTGTCCTTTCACATGTTCATTATTCAGTGTAATTAGTGTGATGCTAACATTCCCATCCAAATAAGTAGGTAAGTTTATTTATGACTACCATTAAATACAATAAGGTCAAAAACATAATGTTATGAATGACATTTATTGCCATCTAGTCTGTGGTTACAGATTATAATACATCATCCATCTGTTTGATAAATTTGTGCCATTGTTCACATATTGACAGATGTGTGACTGGATAGAAAAACTTCCCTCAGTGTAACTGAAATCCCTTCACACATCGTCCTGGTTTTGAATCTTAATGGACCGAGGAGCTGGTGAATCAACATGCGCATTAGATGTCCATGACTCCCCTTTGGTCCCTTTACTGTGACCTGTCCCTGAACAGGAACACGGAAATTATGTTACCTGCTGCCCTGATGGCCAGTTACTGATAGTGATGTTCACCCTAATTCAAAATGCATCTAATATGTCTTTTATCTGTACAAAATAAACTTAAAAGTTTCTGCTGGATAGAGATTTTTTTAAAAGGCTGAATTGCCTGAAACTATTCTACGCTTACTCCTTGGAAGGAAAGTTATGACCAACCTAGATAGCATATTAAAAAGCAGACCCATTACTTTGCCAACAAAGGTCCGTCTAGTCAAGGCTATGGTTTTTCCAGTGGTTACGTATGGATGTGAGAGTTGGACTGTGAAGAAAGCTGAGTACCGAAGAATTGATTCTTTTGAGCTGTGGTGTTGGAGAAGACTCTTGAGAGTCCCTTGAACTGCAAGGAGATCCAACCAGTCCATCCTAAAGGAGATCAGTCCTGGGTGTTTATTGGAAGGACTGATCCTGAAGCTGAAACTTCAACACTTTGGCCACCTGATGCGAAGAGCTGACTTATTGGAAAGACCCTGATGCTGGGAGGGATTGGGGGCAGGAGGAGAGGGGGACGACAGAGGATGAGATGGCTGGATGGCATCACCGACTCGATGGGCCTGAGTTTGAGTGAACTCCGGGAGTTGGTGATGGACAGGGAGGCCTGGCGTGCTGCGGTTCATGGGGTTGCAATGAGTCAGACACAACTGAGCGACTGAACTGAACTGAACGGAACTGATTCTACTGATAAACAGTGTCTGAAAATGCATTCAATCAATTGCAATTTTTTCCCCTTCACTGGAAAGTAGTAAAAGTGCTTAACATTAAGTATTTATAAGGTTTGGGTTTGTATGGACTAATGTTGAGCTCTAAACATGAAAGAGCAGGTATCATTACCTGATCCTTTATATCTAAACACAATTCCATGAGGGATGCATTGTACCCTCATGAAAAAAATTCAGAGTTTATAGTAAAACAATCCTGGGCTTGAATCACATCTCTGGTGGTTACTAGCTGGCTAGTAGTGGTAGATAGGCTTCAACTCTGTCATCTAAAATTGTGATTTTATTATAGCATTTTTGTGAGGGTTGAAAGACCAGGGTGTTTTGTAAGGGCATCTCGGTTTTTAGTTTCACGCTCTTGTGTGTCATACATAAAGTGTTAATAGCCACTACTGATAGCACTCACCTCACAATTTCCTTTATGGCAAAGATAGTGACTAGGAATAAATACCACTATTTTACATCTAACAGGAATCTTAAATAGAGAAAATCAGATTTAATTGTTTCTTCTGAAAATTGAAGATTCCTCCCAGGCCCTGACTATCTCCAGTAACTGTTGTTGAGTATCATAGTTGTATAGCATCTTATTTTCAAAAATGTTTTCAGAAAAATCATGTCCAAGTGGTATAAAATTGTGAGCACCCAGCCCTCTCTTTAAACCATATTGCTGACACAGAAGAACCACCAATTCAAAGGTCACTCATCTTTAGGACAGTGTTGTGATATTTATTTTTCTCCCCATAGGATAAGCTTTGTAAATTACATAGTCATGAACTTGTGCGGTGTCTTTACTGCCGTTAGACTTGGTGTCTTTATTCCATCCATATCCTTCCTACTGATCTGCTCCAGATCCAAGTTCACTGGCAGTGTCTCCTATGTACTAAGTCCACTTATTCTTCAGTGCTGTCTGCATTGCCGTCTCTGCAACCACAGCACAAACTAAAGTTATCTTTTGGCTAAGACAGTGCCATTTCCTCACCTGGGACTTAGAAGAAGATACTGTTGTCCTTCTGTCATCAATGCCCATGATGCCAGAAGCCCAGATTTCTCTATGAAGGTATTACTACTAAGCTGAGAGAATATTTAGCTGAAGTTTTATCCAGAAGGCCAGGAGAACCTTTTTTTGTAAAGCTACAGGTGAACAATTTTGAGCATCATTCTGCATGTAAGATGAGTGCAATTGTGCAGTAGTTTGAGCATTCTTTGGGATTGGAAGGAAAACTGACCCTTTCCAGTCCTGTGGCCACTGCTGAGTTTTGCAAATTTGCTGGCATATTGAGTGCAGCACTTTCACAGCATCATCTTTTAGGATTTGAAATAGCATGACTGAGTGACTCAACTGAACCGATAGATGAACAAAAATTCTAACAGCTGCAATCATGCTAACCACATTGTGCCAGGAAAAATTTTATTAGGTAAAGCAACTTATTACAAGGGAAGAACATTATAATAGTTTAAAGATTCCCTATAGATTAGTTTATTAGCATCCCCCCTGCAGTTGATTTTTATCTTTTACTTACAGGGTCCTCTGGATGTTGCTCACAAGACATCCCTTGTCTGCCCTCTGATGAACTGGATTTGCTCCGGGTATGAACTGTACACTTGGGAGTAGTATTGAGTGGAACAAGGAACTGTTAGTTCCAGGCCATGTTCCCCTATAGCTTTACAAAAAAAGATTCTCCTGGGTTTCTGGATAAAACTTCAGCTAAACATTCTCTCAGCTTAGTTAGTAGTAATACCTTCATAGAGAAACCTGGGCTTCTGGCATCATGGGCATTGATGACAGGACAATATTAGTAGTTAAGCATGTGGATTCTGCATTTAGACTGCTTGAATGTGAATCCTAACTTTGTCACTAACTAGCTGTGTGTGATTAAAGGATGGCTTATTCTACATTTTAACAAGGATAAATAAAAATCTATTTGCTGTACTTGAAAAATGGTAAACTAGCTTTCCCAAAGCATTTCTTGTAAACATTTTTTCCAAAAGTGATTAAAATCGTACACATATTCCCCATTAAGAATTAGCACATGGCTTCCTCATTCAAAAAAGATAAATACCTGGTCATAAACAAGTTTAGAAAAGTTCCCAAGGTTATAAACAAGTTTAGAAAAACTTCCAAAGTCATAAACATGTTTAGGAAAGTTCTCCAAAGTTCTGGAATATATTGATGTGGAAATGATGTAACTATGATATAACTAAATATAATAATGCATATGTAATGATGTAATGGCTTACATGACTTTGGAGTTCCCTAGTGGCTCAGAGGAGAAGGCAGTGGCAAGCTACTCCAGGTCTTTTGCCTGGAAAATCCCATGGACAGAGGAGCTTGGTGGGCTGCAGTCCATGGGGTCGCTAAGAGTTGGACACGACTAAGCAACTTCACTTTCACTTTTCACTTTCTCTCTTGGA